GTCAACCATCCGCACGCTTTCAGTAGCACAAGATCCAATCAAGTATAATCTATCCTCCCCGAATGTCTTGTCCCTTGCCTTCACCTCGGGATACTAATACTAGGCCCATTACGCCTTACCCAACCTCTCACTCTGCGACCACTCCCAACGATCAAAGACATCGAGACGTCACACTTAGTCTCCTAGGAACTCCTCATTGACTTCATGTAGGAGCTCCCAACGTCTGAACTCTATACCAAATCGGACAGCAAGTATCGCTTGCCAGAACTCTGGAATCTATAGCCATAGATGTATGGTTTGTCTCTGAGACACGCATACAGGACCCAGTATGGTTATTATATTGACCCTACCTGGTCATTACAGTGGATCTTCAAATTCACCTGATGAGTTTGGAGAGCCGATGGCCAACGCTCGTTGACTCACTGGTGTAGGCGTAGAATTGAGTTGTATGGTAGGAAGTGCGCTTTTCGACAGCAAACCAGTCGACAACCAACTGTGATGTTCGGCTGAATGGATCTGTAAGAACTAGGAAGGGGCGTGAAACCAACCGACCCCTATTCGTAATCTCCGCCTACACACCCACCGACTGCAGTTCGGATGATGCAAAGGATGTATTCTATGAGGAGCTGCCAATTTTGTTTCGGAAAGCAAAGCGTTCAGAAGTAGTCATGATGACAGGTAACTTCAACGATCAGCTAGGGAAACTGAGACAATCACAAAGGCATCTTCGGGGTATCTACAGAATCAAATGACAAGGAACCGACAACGGTGATTGTTTGTTGCAGTTTCGTTCCGACAATCACTTGTTTCTGACCAGCACTAACTTTAAACACGAGGAGAGGCACTATCTCACTTGGCAGCCACTGACTTCAAACCAACAATGCACACAGATAGACGACATTGCTATAAGCCTCCGTTGGAGAGGATCCATGGAGGATTGTCGCTCTTTCTGGAGTACCACTTTAGACCCTGACTAAACGCTGGTACAGACACATGTATATCTGCTCCACAGTGGTAGCAGGAAACAAGTGATGGCAAAGCCTGTGTATTTATTCGGTTGGAAGATGAGAATGTCAAGCACTTATTCACAGAGGAGATAGATAGGTATTTATCTGAACATGGCAGCAATGCTCATGCCGAGGAAACTTGGTGTGTTATTAAGTCTGCTGTAGAAATAGCAGTAAAGATAATTGGTAACCTACACCGAAGGTTAGCAAACGTCATTGGATTTCCTCAACGTCATCCGAACTGATTGGTGCGAGAAGGCTGATTCCCTCTAGCTCTGACATCAATGGAGAGCGAAAGTAACTCAAATGTAAGTTGACCAAGAGTCTTCCCAATGATGAGGAGTAGTGGTGACAGAGAGAGAGAGAGAGAGAGAGAGAGAGAGAGAGAGAGAGAGGAAGGTATCAGTGTTGGGTAACACTCGGTAACAGTTTAGACCTATTAAGGATACAAGCAAGAAGAAGACGATGGTGAGTGAAACGATAACCGAAAAGGATGTCACGCTGATAACCTTCCAGGACAGGCGGTGAGAACGTTGGGCAAAAACACTTTGAAGCACAGTTCAACTGGCATCCAGCAACACCTCAGTTACGCAACATCAATCCTGAACTTGAATGAGACGTAGATGTCGGTCCTCCAACTCTCCTTGAAATTGAGAATTCTGTATCGAACCTGAAACGATGCAAAGCAGCAAGACCTGAGAGCTTGTCAAATGAAGTTTTCAAGTATGGAGGTAAGAAATTGTTGAATAAAATGTCAGAGGTATTGGCTAGTATATGGGGATCAGAGATATTGCCATCAGACTGGTCTACTTTTTTGATCATCCAGTTTATAAGGAAGAGAAGTCTTCTTGTGACAATCATAGTGGAATTAGTTTGACTAATATTTTTCTCAAGATCCTAGGGCCCATAGTTACCCTACGCCTAACTGAAGCTCGAGAACAGCAAACCCGAGAAAATTGGGTGGATTTCAAACCTAGACAGTTATATTTCCAACCTACAGCAGGTTATATACCGACGGCGATATTTCTTGACCTGAAGGAGACATTTAACTCCGTCGACCGTGAGGTGTTGTGGCAGTGTCTGACTGTGAAAGGAGTACCGAACAAGCATACAAACCTACTCAAAGCTCTTTAACTCATGCAGTCGTGTTATGGCTTATGCAGTGTTCATGCAACCTGATGGCAACCAGTGGTGTCCATGACGGATATCTATTGCCACCGTTCCTATTCAACTTCGTTATACAAGTAGTAATGGAATTAACCTTAGGTACATCTGACTTTACATGGATCGACCTACTAGCTGCAGGTCATCTGGTTGGCTTAGAGTATGCAGATGATACTGTTCTGCTAGGTGAAGACGCTGACAAAATGCATGATCTTCTGATTGCGTTGAAAAGATATGTGAATATGTTTGGCATGCGCCTAGCACCAGTTAAATGTAAGATTATGCTCTAGGACTGGTCTGCTGACTGTACTCCCATTTAATAAAAGGAAGTGAAGTGGTGGGATGTGTGGATTACTTCACTTACTTGCAGAGTTGCATCAGGCTGGACAAGCTGGTGGCTGACGAAATTTCGGCTGGAATACAGAAGGCCCGTTTGGGATTTGCCAGCTTGTATCACATATTCCGCCGACTGGCGCGATGTCCGACTATCTTTCAAAAGACGAGTACTCTGCACTATAGTTGGTTCTGTCCTGTTATACGGCTGAGACATGGCCATTGAAAGTAGAAGACGTGAAGTGGTGACAAGTGTTTGGTAGTAGGTGTTTTCGTAGCACCCCTTCCATTTGGTGGATTCACCCTGCGAGCAATTTCGAAGTCAGGCGAAGGGTACTAGGAAAGACTGGCAAATAAGTTGATGAGGTTGTGGACCTTAGTCAACTGAGATGGTTTAGAAGTAAACTCCGCATTCTGAGCCACCGCCTTCCTCGACGTGTCATGCTGGGGGAAGTTGAATTAGACTGGGAGAGGGTTCAGGTTGGCCAGACAGAACGTGGAACCAGCCGGTGGTCTCTTACTGTCGGTCTGAGTTGTATACTACCTGGTTGGGGTCCCCAAGACGAAATAAACCAGTGGTTGAGGCCCCTTCATGACATGGCTGAAGATGGGTCACAATGGCGCAGATTTACCCACTTCTTGACGTTTTCTTAAGCTTGAATACTCGCACTAACCTTGTTTTCAAATTATTTATTTTCGCACATGCTTTGTCTTCTTTGATATTACTTTTTCGATCCACTTCTTCCTTGTGTACTATTATGAAGTGTGGCAACCTGAGCCGATGCACTTGTGTGCGAGGCTTTAAGTTGATTGGGGTAACGGGAAGTGGGAATTCACGCACTTTCGATTGCCACAATAAGCAACTTGTCTGGTATATACAGATCAGCTTGGCAGTCAGATAGGCTAGATTCAGTGTAGCATCCAATCGGCACTTGATCCTAGAAGCGACTTCATGCTCCTTAAAAGTCAAGTTCTAAGGGACACGCTTCTATCTACTAGTGCTACACTCCTTTCTTTACTCATTAGACTTTCTGTATTTATCAGTGAACTTCCGAGGACAACTGTTATCATGCAGACATCTCTCAACAACAGATAACTCCTCAAGTTTTTCTTTCTAGCAGAGTTTTCTCTAACGATTGGATGGCTGCCTAACCAACCAAGAATGTGAGAGCAAGAGCAAATGAGCACTTCATCCCAATAAGCACAGAAAAAATGTCAACCTGGGTCACAAATCATGCCTTCCTTACCACATCTCATTTAACTCAAGTGAACAGATACCTTAGCTACTTATATTGGTATCAATTCGCGCATTTCTTTCGACACAATCAGTATCGTTACCGGTATAATGGGATGAATTACAACCCAACAGAACTATTTATGTTCACAACAGTAATTTGGCTGCGTAGTCGCTAGATTACGGACCGTACGCCATGGGAGACTAACTCCTCCCTATCTTATGCGACACTCACTAGATTTAGTGGTTAAACTATAATGCGCTAGTTAGTAGCACTACTTATATGTTAACAAACCAGAACTTCAATTCGCGAAATTTACAAAGTAGCTAGTGTCGTCTTGAAATAGTTTATTGTTCGACAGGGCTCTCTATTCTCCATTCACAACACGCGTCAATACTAGCAGGCTGTAAGACCGCATACCCATCGATTATTGCAATTAAAAACGAATACTGGCGGAATATGCGAAACATGTGTAGTTAACGAGTAGTACGGCTTTTATGTGACTTGAATGTGATCAAGAGTGGTCAGAGAAAAAGCTACCGAACTGCTACTACTTTCCACATCTAAGGGTAAATATTTGTCAGGGTCTCGTAAAGCGCTTCCCGGGTCTTTTTTATTCTTGAAATTTTTGGTTCACGACCAATCACAGGAAATGTTATTCCTGAAAGGAAAAACAGAATCATTCCATTCTACACCAAAAAGCACACTGTATCCATTTGCTAAAGTTTATGAACGGCCATTTTGTTACTTACACTTTTCCATACGTGTATTGCCAACATCGTGATATTCTGTCCCCTCACTTTTGTCCTTAAATACTGCAACGTCCTTTGCTGTACTCACGCTGATCCGCGTCGGCTTATTTGGTAGAGCTATACTGATTTCAACACCGAATCAAAATGAATTATGCACTACAAGTGTGCAAGACTAATGCCGTTGTTACTAGATAAACTTTACACGCTGAACAAAGATATCTCGCACTGGGCACTGTTCATATTTTCTCCTGATACTAGTGTAGATAGCGAAGCACACCTGCATACCATTCATCTTTATCAAAATCCCGTGTACATGGTTTACTTCAATGAAGGAAAAATACCAAACCGTCCATGTAGAAGTGTTTTTTCAAGGAAACAAATGGGCTAAATGAACAGAACTCCACAATCAGCTGCACACAAAACTGATTTCATCGGACGACAACCAGTGAAGATTTGCGATTGCCATCGTCATAGGGTGGAATCTGCTAGGAGCTCATAACGTTCCATGATCACTTCTTCCGTAATAGCTCCAGAATATCTCCTTCGATATCCTACGGAAAGAAAATCATAAGTGTTTAATAAGTAGACGAATAATACATCAGGAAACTCCCAGCTCATTGAAAGAACAAGAGAAGTGGTTTTCTTGAAATACACTCAGGTCTAGTGTATTCAGAAGTCTTGTTAGAAAAGAACAGACGACTTCCAGTTAGTCCCTTACCCAGGGCCGACTATTCTAACACCAACATAACGCAACTCCTGGACTTTTACACGATGACATAAGATGCAAGTCGAAAATTAGATTCCAGCGAATGAAAGTCTAGCGTCAAAACCACAGGCTTCTTCTGTAACACTACTTTTCTATGCTTATTTGGACAATTCGAAAAGCTGAGATCAGCAAACCTAATGGCTACTTTCGCACGTGACGGCTTATTTCTGTAACTCCAACCGCCTAAGGTATGTACCCACTGTGTCAGGTCTACTTTCCAAACAGACCTAGGGGATATTTGGGCTTGTTGTGTTGAATACGAACTTGGGAGATTTCTGATGCATACATCCACCAATTTACGGTCTTCAGCCACTGGCCAAACGTCATACAAATAACGGTGTTTCTACGTAAGACCAGACAGGATGAGTTGATTGAGCTTAACATCCCCCATAACCATTGTAATTACTTTTAGACTATCAAAATTTCAAAACAATTAATTTAGCATAGTGTTTACCAAAAAGCCTACCCACATACAAAACTATCATGACAACAGTAAGGAACTGACGAATGTGTGCATATAAGTAATTCACGAGACCGAGAAATAAATGAGTTGTATTCATGCGAATAACTACACAAGAAAATTAAGCATGTGTCTGACTCACCAATGGAGCAGTTGTTGGGGAATATCTCTTAACTGGTTGGCCTTCGCGATTTACAAGAAATTTCGAGAAGTTCCACTTGATAGCGCTTCAGGAATAACAATGTGAAAGAAGAATACCTTATCAGAGTACCTCCTAGTCTATCCTTCAAGAATTTATAAAGAGGGTGAGCGTCGGACCCATTTACATGAATCTTTGCGAACATATCAAACTGAACACCGTACTTCATTGTCACAAAATTTTTTATTTCCGATTCAGGCCATGGTTCCTACAATTGTTACTGATATAGAATACAATACTTGTCCTCCAAATTGATTGCATGGGAAAGCTAGTATACGTAGGCCTTCGCCAACCAGTTGAGTGTGCATCTCCTGGAGTTGGCGGTAGTTCTTATCAGTTGCTCCTCACTTGCAAGCGACGTTGACGATGAGACAAACGTGCCCACTGCGAACCAACAGTATTAAGTGTTAAACTACGTAACATACCGGTATTTTTCTAAGGATACTTCGTTACCATCAATATCTCTGCGGTGAAATCATAAATGGAATTGCCTGAACTACTAGAGGAAGACTAAACACAAACGTCATCAGAAACACACCAAATTACCATCATGAAACTTTGTGTACCAAGTAAAACTTCCGGTACTTATTTAATGCCCGGGTCAAGGCCATCATGGTGACGTAACACAGATGGTGGCAAACTCTCATTCTGACAAACAAACCTTTTGCTGAACTAACTTGATATACGTTAGCCGTTGCATCCCAGGATTTTGTATTTACGGTTACAGACAAAATATTTGGTATCGCTGTGTCCAGTAAACTGCCGACGTCAGCCATATTTGAGAACGACTGTGACCTTTCAATATGCAATGTCATTTTACGAGCCAGTGTAAACCAATTGATTTCTTCCCGCTCGCTTATAGGTCTTGCAGAAAGGTTACAGGTCTTTGGTGGATTACGATGTAGTAGGTCTACCCACTCGATCTCTGTAACTCTGGTTTGCCCGACGGCGGTTGGGTGTTGGTTAAATTTGTAGGGAGTGTTGTTTCTTTTGTTTTTTCTTGCAACGACTGTGGTGCATATGGGTTGCTCAAGTGTCGTGCCAGTAGACAATTGGTCAGAATGGTTGTAAAAAGGGGATGAAAAATGTGTGCAGAGAAACCAAGGGAGAGAAAGTGCAGGGAAAAACAAACAGATAAAGAAAAGAAAAAGACGATTAAGAAAAAGGAAAGGGCACGGAAGATGAAGCATTGGTAGACTTATGGGGAAGGGGTGATAGGGAGAGCTTTTGATAAAGTTCGAGAACGTAAAGTTAGGAGGAAGAAGAATAAACAACATGATAGAACGAATGGGAATATGGTAATTCTTATAGTAGGAGACGGTAACTGGAGGGGACGTCTATGGGGAGGTATAAAGTTGGACCTTAAAGCAGAATGCTCTGGGAAATCTATCTTCATTGTGTGCAGACAGATGAACGAAACATTATATTAGCTGCTTACCGAGTTATAAGCACTGGACCCCCATCGGAAGCCAGTCAGTCTCAGGCAGTCCTACAATCACATTAAGGCGATAAAATTCCAGGGGCCTAACAAAAATGGCAAGGTAGAGATCAACTGATCATGTATCACTGTACAAGAAGGACTGAAAATTAAACCCAGTTACTCTTTTCTCCAAGAAACCTATGATTTTTCCTAGTATTCCCAATATCAGATTAATTTTGCGGAACTGGATCCCTCTTTGGCAATAAAAGGAAGTGGAAGTTTGAAAACATATGTTGTTAGCATATCCAATTCTCTCTCTGTTACACACCCCTTTCTTACAAGACCACGGCAAAAGACCTGGGACTGTCAATAATCACTCAGGAGATACCTCTAATACCTGTGTAGCGTCATACACTTCCCCAAAATCAATAGCCTAGGGTTTGACGACTTCGACATTGATGCTGACCTTGATAGTTTAACTGGACTCGCTAAGCTGAAGGCATCCGGTCAAGCATCCTCGCCATTTGGCACGCTGTCGTGTTACGTTGCATTGCTCGTATTCGACTCTCTAGCCAGTTAGTTGGAACGCATCGGTATTTTGGCATAACCATCCAAATATACTATTCCATCCGACTACGCTATCGTGTTCTTCCTTGGTCTCGTATTCGTGGGTATATAACAAGTTCGAATAATTAGTGATTGGTCTTTGCGTCTGTCAAGTTCGCACCAGGACAAATCCTAAATTGGTGAGCCCGACGTGATCCCCGACGTGATCACACATCCCGACCAATAGCAAGTATTGAATTGGTGAGCCTGTTCCATTTTATATTTGTTTATTGTTTTCATTTCGATAACATTTATATATCCATTTACTACACTTTCTCATGTCCGACCACACTCCCAAGCTTATTCGTATTAAGCCGACCTCGAACACGATCCAACTCGTGCCATATTGGCCAGACAATGCAGAAACATGGTTTCTGTATGCCGAGGCCGATTTTCGAGAACAGGGTGTCTCAGATCCTCATCTCGATTTCTTGCTGTCATACGTTCACTACCGCGAGAATTAAACAGGTATGTTACAGCAAACATGTTTAATCCTGAAGTAAGTGACCCTTATGCACTTCTAAAGGCTGCACTCTTGAAGAAAAGCGATCTCACAGATCGCCAACGTCTAGACGAATTGCTTCGTAACATCGAGCTAGGCAGCCACTCAGCTACTGAAGTCCTCGCACGCATGCGAGAAGTAATCGGTGCACGAACATTTGACGATGGTTTCTTCCGAGAACTATTTCTCTCGAAACTACCACAACCGGTGCAAACCGTGTTGGTGACACTCCAGTCAGTCCCACTCGACGACCTGGCAGCTTCAGCAGATAAAATACTGGAGATATCCAGCAGACCCGTCTCCAACGTATATTCTATCTGTGACAAAACAGAGCGCCAGGATTCGGAGGTGACCAAGTTGTGCAACTCTGTGAAACGGTTGCTACGATCTCGAAGTCCTAGATCACGTAGCACTTCACAGAAACGCACCTTGGCGCATCGCAGCAAGTCGCGTGGTAGCCCTAAAACGAAACCCAACAGGGTGGAAAACCCTGAATGGTGCTGGTTTCATAACACTTACGGGGATGAAGCCAGAAAATGTCGTAAACCATGCCGTTTTAAGAAGGACATAAACTCGGGAAACGGTCACGCCGGCACGTGCTCACGGCAACCGTAGCCGGCGGAAAAAGCCGTTTGCTCTACGTCACCGACATTAAAACGAAAGTCCGCTACCTCGTCGACACCGGCGCAGAAGTTAGCGTTCTTCCAGCAACGACAAAGGAGCGTCATCTCGACCCATCCTTCAATCTTCAAGCAGCCAACGGCAAGGCAATCGCGACATTCGGGAGACGGTATGCCTACCTCAACTTAGGTTTACGCAAACCTATTCACTGGATTTTCCTCCTGGCAGACGTCTCTATGCCCATCATTGGCATAGATTTGCTGAACCATTACGATCTACTCGTAGATGCTCGCCGTCGACGACTGATAGATAACAACACAAAGTTATCTATTGGCGGCACCACCTATGTAGGTCCGAGTTTAGCCATCGTTAGGACTAAACAATCAGGCGACGCGTCCTACCAGGCAGTTCTGGAGAAATATCCAGAGTTACAACAACCGAAACACACTCTTCCGTGCATAACCAGCAATGTTATGCATCACGTCACAACCACAGGTCCACCTGTGGCATCCAAAGCTCGCCGTTTAGCCCCCGATAAGCTGCAAACGGCGAAAAATGAATTCGACCATATGCTCGAACTGGGCATTATCAGACCGTCGAACAGTCCTTGGGCATCGCCATTGCACATGGTGCCCAAAAAGGATAGCAACGACTGGCGTCCGACCGGTGATTACCGAAGGCTTAACGCCAAAACAACTCCGGACTGCTACCCTATACCCCACGTTTACGACTTGACCGCAACCTTATGCGGCATGAACATTTTCTCGAAAATCGACTTAGTCAAAGCGTACAACCAGATACCTATGGCAGCAGAAGATATCGCGAAAACAGCCATTATTACTCCTTTTGGCCTGTTTGAATTCCTGCGCATGCCTTTTGGTCTTCGGAATGCAGCACAAACATTCCAACGCTTTATGGACGACGTCTTCCGTGGTCTGAATTTTGTTCATGTCTACATAGATGACTGTCTAATTGCGAGTCCAGATAAGGAAACACACCTTAAACATTTGGACCTCGCATTCGAAAGACTCAAAAAACATGGCATCACAGTTAACTTACAGAAGTGTGAAATAGGAGTTGAATCACTCAGCTTCCTTGGGCATACCATTGACAACAAAGGTATACGCCCATTGAGAGATAAAGTGGCGGCTATCACAAACTATCCAGAGCCGACCACTGTGAAACATCTCCGCACTTTCAATGGCCTGGTAAGTTATTACCGAAGGTTTATCCCTAACTGTGCCTCTGTCATGAGACCACTCACAGATCTACTTCGAGGAACTGCGAAGTTCGTGTCTCTGGACAACGCGGCTAGACTTGCTTTCTCCAAAGTCAAGGAAGCCATTTCGAACGCAACCATGCTTATGCATCATGACCCCAATGCTCCTCTGAGTATTGCTGTTGATGCATCTGATTCAGCAATTGGAGCAGTTTTGCAACAGTTGACTGACAACCAGTGGCAACCGTTAGCCTTTTTCTCGAGGCGGCTGCAAGACGCGGAAACAAGATACAGTACATTTGGTAGGGAACTCCTAGCCATGTACTGTTCTGTACGCCATTTTCGACATTCTGTGGAAGGTCGTGATTTCATTATTTTCACAGACCACAAACCGTTAACGTTTTCCCTCAGCTCGGCGTCTGACAAATACTCCCCTCGTGAGTCGCGACAGCTGGATTACATTTCCCAGTTCACGTCAGACATCCGCCACATTTCTGGAGCAAACAACTCCGCAGCCGACGCACTATCTCGAATAGCTTCGATAAACTATATCGAGGGTATTGATCTCGTTGAACTAGCTCGGCGTCAAAAGGAAGACCTTGAGCTGCATCATGAGTTGTCGTCCACAACTCTCAAACTGCGACTTTGTCCTGTTGGATCAGACAAGGATGCAATTTTGTGCGATGTCTCTGCTAGTCAACCACGCCCAATAGTTCCGAAGAGTTGTCGACGCAACGTCTTCAATACGTTGCACAAACTCTCTCATCCAGGTGTACGAGCCACCATTAGGCTTATCGCACAACGTTTCTGCTGGCCTGGGATGAACAAAGACGTTAAGGAGTGGGCCCAGTCGTGCTTAGCTTGTCAAAAGTGTAAAGTCACGCGACACACGAAAAGCCCTTTAGGCTCATTTCTAGCCCCAGACATGCGTTTCGACCAC